TCTGAAGTATAATTTTTTATTGTTTTTATATTTTTCAATATATTTATTTTGTTTGTACAAAATAAAAAAATAATTTTTAACAATACAATAGTCTTCGTTAGGCTTAACATCGACGAAAATTCAATGCAAAGCGACACACAACGGAGAAAAATTTCAACACGGAATAAATTAATATATTTTTTCGTACATAATTGGTTATCCAAAAAATAAGTTATCCGAACAACCCCAGTCCCCAATTGATTCGGATAAACAACGCTCTACTGTATTTATTGGCTTATTTTCTTTTTCTTGAATCAACACTTCCTTAATTTTATTATCTACTTCATTTATAAATTTTATTTTATTATAAGATTGTTTATTACCTGATTTGGACTTGTCTCTACGATTAACACCTTTTATCTCTCCACTTTTTTCTTTATTACTGTCCAATGCTAGTTGGACTGGAAAGTGGTCTGATTCATCTGTTTCTAAAACTGAAAGCAACTTGCAATACTCTAAAAGAAATTCAGAACAAATAACAGTTTATTATTGATTTCCCTTTTAGGGAAATAAAGGTATATTCTGCGGGAATATCTCCCACCACCCTACTGTTCAACACTATAAGATGGTTTTCCTGTACAAATTCCAAAAGGGTTCTTCCTTCTGTATTTATCAATTTATTTTTAGATATTATCCTATTGTTAATATTTTCATTTCTAAAACATTTTGTATCCATTTTCTCGCCAATGTGAGTGTTAAAGTCTCCATTGATAATCCAGAGACCAACGATATTAGACTACCTTTCTATATAACCTTGGGCCTCACTTAATACTTTTTTTCTCTCTGAAGAAGGGGGAAGATAGAATAATAATATTCTTAAGTATGAATTTTTCTAACTTAGTTTAATATCATTTCTGAATTCTATCACTATGAAAATAAATTTTTCAGTTATATAGATATTGAGAATCTCACCTAGGCTTTTCTTGACAACAACAGTAATCCTCCTGAAGGACAGCCAAATTTATTTTTCCTTTGTGCACCACTAATTATTATACTGTTTTCTTGCTCCAAGAGATTTTTTTCCTCTTCACTTAAATTTGTCATCCAAGTTTCCGTAAATCCAATTATAGTATTAGATTTTATGAATTTCTATACTGAGACTTTGTGTATTTTCCTGCAAAGGCCTTGTATATTCCAAAATCCTATTAGAAAAATATTTTTGTCCTTATTAGTCTCTCACACTTTGCTTTCCTTTTTTTCCCTTTATTATATCCCAATTTTACCAAACTTTTATTACAATTATTTTCATTCTCTTTTTTCTTATTTAAAGAATCTTTACCTAACTCAGTGTGATTCCTATGCCAGTCATGTTTTAAATTTGTTGTCTATCTATCTCTAAAACATGATCCATTTGGATTATCTTATTTGAATTAGTATCATATGTGTAGTTATATGTTATATTGTCCTTAATATAATAATCGTCTCTTATTAATATTTTATTTTTACTAGTTCTTTCCAATTTAATCCTATCCTGTAGTTTCTTCTAATTCTTGATCTTAATACACAGGTCAGTTGTAAATATTATTTTTTTCTTGGTTTCATTAACAAATTTTAATTTCAATGCCCAGAATCTCTTGAGAACTAAATTTCTATCTTTTACAGATTCCAGAATCACTTTTACTACAAGGTTATAAAGAATAATGAATTCAGAATTTGGGTTTACTTGTCAATTATTCAAGGTAGTTTAGTTACGCATGCGCGCACGTGCGTATGTGAAAAGTGAATTGATTGACATTTGACACTAAAAGAAATGAAATTTCTTATCATAAAAAATTAATCACATTAGTATTTAGTAAATGAAAACCATTACTCACATATAAAACATACTTCCATACTTTTGTCAATGATTTAATGTATTTAATCAAAATATATGTAATATATGATTATATATGTATATAATCATATCACAGACAGAGTGAGAAATCAGTAAACAGCAGTTTAAATCAGTATGCATGCTCGCCTGCGTGGCGCACAAATTTTTGTGCATGGCAACAATTTGAGCAGTACGCAGCCACCAACTTAGAGGGAACGTTGCTTAGGGGCAGGAGGTCCAGATTAACTATATATGAACTTCTGGTTTGAACTGGAAGTCACGTTATTTCAATTAAATAAGGGTTTGAACAACTTGCACAAAGAAGCCTTTCGACAGAAGGCTTTCTTTAGTGGAAGTCACATTATTTCAGTTAAAAAATTCTCTCCTGAACGGAGTTAGATAGATGACCAGCATGACTTCATTGTTAACAAGAAAAGTATGATGTAGAGGGGCAAGACACTACTAAAATTGAAAGCATTGTTATGAAAAATTGCAGCCTGTCATTGTGACGATATCACAACAAATAATTGCTTGTATTATTATTAAAGTAGTTGTGAGAGATGATAAAATATTTTTAAGTTTATTTTTAAAGAAAATCAGAATGTTGTTGTAAAGTTTTGGATAAAATAATATAATCTGTACTCCTGAAACATCAAAAGTTCTTTAATTATGCAGGTAAATTCTTTTGAGAACTATATGATGTGTACTGGGTGAGGCTTAAGCGACACACTTGTTTTGGATGTGTAGTATATATTTTAATTGGTTTTTAATTTTGAATTTTTGTTAGTGTTGTAACAGTGAAAAAACAGGCTAGATTAGGAAGTGAATTAGGAGGAGACATGTTTATTACCCTAAACATTTCTATATAATTATATATAGAAAATATAATTTAATTAAAATTTGTTTATGTATTCAATATTTTATCACAAATTATTCTAATATTAAAAGAGCTTAATTTTTATTAATAAAGTTAGAAGCATTAATATTATTTTTGGCAAAATACATCTATCAGATTTTCCATTAAAAAAATATGTTTTTAACTATTAAATATCCATAACAAATGAAGTGTTGTTTTCATTTTACAGCATCAAAATTACATTAAACACGAATACCAGCCATTACAAGTTAATAAAGTTCATCAAATTGAGCAACGTAAACTTTCTCATGATCAGGTAAAAACTTCTTTATATTATTATAATTTTTTAAATTGCTTATTGTTTTTAAAAGATGATAAATTTAATAGTTTAGGGCAGCACTGCAAATGGTTGTCAGCCCAGGTGATCCACGCGAACATTTAGATAATTTTATAAGAATTGGAGAAGGATCCACCGGAGTTGTATGTATAGCAACTGATAAAAGAACTGGTTGTCAAGTAGCGGTTAAAAAGATGGATCTACATAAACAGCAACGAAGAGAACTGTTATTTAACGAAGTTAGTTTTATAAAATTATTATTTTTCTTAAATATTTTAGCAAAGATCTAAAATAATTTATCTGTCAATAGCATGAGATAAATTTTTGTAATTGGTGCATAACTACAATTCATTATGAATATATATATACACACACAGTGGAATCTCTCTCTAACAGAAGCTATGGAACTAAAAAAATTTCCCATCTGTAGCAGAGAGGTTGTGTGTAAATTATCTTTAAATGAAACATCCTTTAAATGTAGCCCACATTATTTTTATTTACAAACATAATACACATACCAATTGTAAGAAAGAAAACAAACATCACGCAATTTTATAAAAAATTCAGTAATGTTGGTTTTTACAATTGATTATAGCAATCTGCTTTTCATTATGCATAAGTAAGTCCTATGACAGCTTTATACTTTGTACTGTCTGTCATTTTTATTCATGTAAAACCACTTGAATTACTTTGTCATCTGGACATGAAATCTATTTGTTTGACTCTGTCTTACTTTGGTCTTATTTTGGCTGTGGGGAGATCGAGGAGGAGTCATTGACATATCTTGAGTGGGGTCAGACTTAATGAAAATTTTACTCATTATTGACATTTACAATATTTTTCAAAATTCATCTCTACCTTCAAAATTAAGCCTGTTTTGCCTTTTTTATAATAATTAATAATATAAAAGTTATTTTTTAATATTTTATAACAGATTGCCTCACACACAATTTTAATTTTGAACTAGTGTCATAGTGTTATTTTTAAATTTAAATATTTTTTCTAAATGGAGATTTTTTTATCATAATTTGTTACTTAAATCTTTTGTCGTTACTTAAATTTTATATTGTAGTATAATTGAAAATTATCAGACTTCTTAATAGTCCCCTTAATGTTCTGTTTGTGTGCCAGGAAAGCCGAGCAAGAGTCCTTGCCAGCTTTTTTGAACTCTTATATGTATTAAATAAATCTACATTTATTTGAAATTTCTCTTGTGTTAAAATGGAATTAAAAATACTAAAAGCCATTGATATTTTATGCTACGTTTTATGCTCACAGGTTGTAATTATGAGGGATTATCATCATCCAAATATTGTTGAAATGTATGACAGCTTCTTAGTTGATGATGAATTATGGGTAATAATGGAATTGCTAGAAGGTGGTACTCTGACTGACATTGTTACTCATGCAAGGTAAATTTATTGCATTACTATTGCACTATATACTTGTAGTAAAATCTGTTTTCTTTTTATTAAGAATTAAAATTATAAATTATAGGATGGATGAAGAACAAATTGCAATGGTTTGCAAGCAATGCCTCAATGCCTTATCATTTTTACATTCACAAGGTGTCATTCACAGAGATATTAAAAGTGATTCCATTTTACTAACAGGTGAAGGAAAGGTGAGGTTAAAATTTAATAATAATTGTTTCATAATAATAATTTATTATACATATTTATTACAAATTTATTATAGGTTAAATTATCAGATTTTGGATTTTGTGCTCAAATATCGAACGACCTAGCAAAGAGAAAATCTTTGGTTGGAACACCTTATTGGATGGCACCAGAAGTGATATCAAGACAACCATATGGTCCAGAGGTAATTAGAATTTACTTATACAAAGTCTTCCAAAAGAATACTACCATTTTAAATTATTATAATTATGTTAATTATTATTCAAGAACATTATAATGTACATTAAAACATTGGAAAACTGTTCAAGTTTTACATTTATAGTTTCTCAATGTGTGCACTTTATGTCATGTGGCACACAATTCAACCAATACTCAGTTTAATTAACACACATTAAACTGAGTATATTTTAAATACTCAGTTTCATTCTAGATTTGCCACAACTTATCTTTTATCAGTCTTCTCATAGTAGCCACAGTTCTAGAGCTCCTATAGGTTATTCATGTTACATAAATGCTTTATCTATTGTGGAGTTGCCATTTTTGTTTACATGCTTCCTAGAGACAGTAGACAATGAGATGTTAGAATGCAGGTAGGAGATGAAACTTGGATGTTACTGTATCTGTGGGTATTTCTCAGGTACATAATAAGTAATATAAATACAGTAATTTAAAATGGTAGCAGTCGTTTTGGAACACTGTATTTTTAATTGCATAATTCTTATCAAGACTTCTATAATTTCAACTTTAAACACATATTTAATCATTTTTTGTTTGACTAACTTGAGAAAGGAGAGAAATCTTTTCTTTATCATCAGTTTAAGCAATATTGACAAAAGTTTTAGACTACTATATGAATTATTTTACAGTATTTTAAATATTAGACTATTAATTTTGCTTAACAGAAAGTGAAAATATAAAAAAAAAAAATAACTGTCCACAAAAACTTTATCAGTGGACAGTTATTACTCAACACAGTGTTACAGNGTTGTTATGCTGCAATTTTCAACAATTGCAGACATAAATTACTACTGACATCCATCTGGCTGTCTGTCCTTCCTTAATCTTGAGAACAGAATTAGATACACTAAGTTGAGACCAGATATGGAAAGCTTAGGGGCTGCATTCCCTCTAATTTTTTTGTAGCTGAGCGGAACATGTACTTTACTTCTCTGAGCAAATACATAGACATAGACAATCTTATTTTTTTCCTTGAAAATCTAAAATAATTAATTATGAAGTAAAGATTAAAATTCATTTCATTATAAAAAAAACTTTTATTAATGTATATTATTTAGTCACATAACAATCACAAAGAAATATTTGAATTCTGATGAATATTTTCACGCTTATCTTATTTGAAATCCAGTGTTTGTAGACAGATTGAAGATTCACTTCCTCTCCAGAGGAAAGATGCATTCGAATTCTCATTAAATCACATAAATGCTTCAATTCAAGTCTATTTCTGATTTTACTCTTAATTGATATCATAACACTAAATCCGCAGTCACATTCAACACTAGAACTTGAAATGTTCCAATGATATTGATAAGAACTTCTAGTTCTTTAAATTCGTCATCATTACGTACATAACATATCAGTGAATTTTTTAATTGAACAATTTTTCCATTTTTGGATATAATGAATTCCAATCTTAAGGCACTTCCTGGATTGTTATTTTCTAGTAGGAAAATTCTACGTATAAATTTATTTTGGATTTTTTCAAATTTGTTGAAATTAGTAATATTCCAGATTGGTGCTGCATAACCTATTGAGTTTATTATTATTGTATTGAAAAGATGCCAATGTATTTGGACGTTTTTAATTTTTGCTATACTGAAAATGAAGTTGTTTATTAAACTATTAGCTTTAACCACAATTTTTTTATATTGTTTATCGAATAATAAATTTAGAGTAAATATAATACCTAGAAATTTAATTTCTTTTACTATCTTCAGTTCTCTGTTTATGTAAAAAGACATGTTTTTTTGGTAATCTAGTTCCATTTCTAAATATCATAATTTCTGATTTTTAGGATTAATTTTTACCTTCAGTTCTTCAAAATATTTCATAACTAGCTGAATTTTTCTATGTAATGCTGCTGTTGTAGGTGCAACTATAACTATATCATCTGCGTAGCGAATAGAATGTATTATCTGATTATCGATTTTAAACCCATCATTCTCATTCTTGAAACAATTATTTATGTCAAATGTATAGAGGTTAAATAAATGTGGAGACAACGGATCCCCTTGCAATAGTCCTCTACTTGTTTTAAAGCATGGCCACAGAACATCCTCTTGTTTAATGATTGTTTTGTATTGCCCAAAAAGTAATCCTATCATTCTTATTAAATGATCACATGCATTATATTTTTTCATCTTAACTTGTAAGTCTATTATACTAATTGAGTCATAAGCTTTTTCTAAATCTAAGAACAAGGCGAATAGTTTTTCTCTCTTCTTAAGTAGTTGTAACTGAACTAATGCNAGATATTGAGAATCTCACCTAGGCTTTTCTTGACAACAACAGTAATCCTCCTGAAGGACAGCCAAATTTATTTTTCCTTTGTGCACCACTAATTATTATACTGTTTTCTTGCTCCAAGAGATTTTTTTCCTCTTCACTTAAATTTGTCATCCAAGTTTCCGTAAATCCAATTATAATATTAGATTTTATGAATTTCTATACTGAGACTTTGTGTATTTTCTTGCAAAGGCCTTGTATATTCCAAAATTCTATTAGAAAAATATTTTTGTCCTTATTAGTCTCTCACACTTTGCTTTCCTTTTTTCCCCTTTATTATATCCCAATTTTACCAAACTTTTATTACAATTATTTTCATTCTCTTTTTTCTTATTTAAAGAATCTTTACCTAACTCAGTGTGATTCCTATGCCAGTCATGTTTTAAATTTGTTGTCTATCTATCTCTAAAACATGATCCATTTGGATTATCTTATTTGAATTAGTATCATATGTGTAGTTATATGTTATATTGTCCTTAATATAATAATCGTCTCTTATTAATATTTTATTTTTACTAGTTCTTTCCAATTTAATCCTATCCTGTAGTTTCTTCTAATTCTTGATCTTAATACACAGGTCAGTTGTAAATATTATTTTTTTCTTGGTTTCATTAACAAATTTTAATTTCAATGCCCAGAATCTCTTGAGAACTAAATTTCTATCTTTTACAGATTCCAGAATCACTTTTACTACAAGGTTATAAAGAATAATGAATTCAGAATTTGGGTTTACTTGTCAATTATTCAAGGTAGTTTAGTTACGCATGCGCGCACGTGCGTATGTGAAAAGTGAATTGATTGACATTTGACACTAAAAGAAATGAAATTTCTTATCATAAAAAATTAATCACATTAGTATTTAGTAAATGAAAACCATTACTCACATATAAAACATACTTCCATACTTTTGTCAATGATTTAATGTATTTAATCAAAATATATGTAATATATGATTATATATGTATATAATCATATCACAGACAAAGTGAGAAATCAGTAAACAGCAGTTTAAATCAGTATGCATGATCGCCTGCGTGGCGCACAAATTTTTGTGCATGGCAACAATTTGAGCAGTACGCAGCCACCAACTTAGAGGGAACGTTGCTTAGGGGCAGGAGGTCCAGATTAACTATATATGAACTTCTGGTTTGAACTGGAAGTCACGTTATTTCAATTAAATAAGGGTTTGAACAACTTGCACAAAGAAGCCTTTCGAAAGAAGGCTTTCTTTAGTGGAAGTCACATTATTTCAGTTAAAAAATTCTCTCCTGAACGGAGTTAGATAGATGACCAGCATGACTTCATTGTTAACAAGAAAAGTATGATGTAGAGGGGCAAGACACTACTAAAATTGAAAGCATTGTTATGAAAAATTGCAGCCTGTCATTGTGACGATATCACAACAAATAATTGCTTGTATTATTATTAAAGTAGTTGTGAGAGATGATAAAATATTTTTAAGTTTATTTTTAAAGAAAATCAGAATGTTGTTGTAAAGTTTTGGATAAAATAATATAATCTGTACTCCTGAAACATCAAAAGTTCTTTAATTATGCAGGTAAATTCTTTTGAGAACTATATGATGTGTACTGGGTGAGGCTTAAGCGACACACTTGTTTTGGATGTGTAGTATATATTTTAATTGGTTTTTAATTTTGAATTTTTGTTAGTGTTGTAACAGTGAAAAAACAGGCTAGATTAGGAAGTGAATTAGGAGGAGACATGTTTATTACCCTAAACATTTCTATATAATTATATATAGAAAATATAATTTAATTAAAATTTGTTTATGTATTCAATATTTTATCACAAATTATTCTAATATTAAAAGAGCTTAATTTTTATTAATAAAGTTAGAAGCATTAATATTATTTTTGGCAAAATACATCTATCAGATTTTCCATTAAAAAAATATGTTTTTAACTATTAAATATCCATAACAAATGAAGTGTTGTTTTCATTTTACAGCATCAAAATTACATTAAACACGAATACCAGCCATTACAAGTTAATAAAGTTCATCAAATTGAGCAACGTAAACTTTCTCATGATCAGGTAAAAACTTCTTTATATTATTATAATTTTTTAAATTGCTTATTGTTTTTAAAAGATGATAAATTTAATAGTTTAGGGCAGCACTGCAAATGGTTGTCAGCCCAGGTGATCCACGCGAACATTTAGATAATTTTATAAGAATTGGAGAAGGATCCACCGGAGTTGTATGTATAGCAACTGATAAAAGAACTGGTTGTCAAGTAGCGGTTAAAAAGATGGATCTACATAAACAGCAACGAAGAGAACTGTTATTTAACGAAGTTAGTTTTATAAAATTATTATTTTTCTTAAATATTTTAGCAAAGATCTAAAATAATTTATCTGTCAATAGCATGAGATAAATTTTTGTAATTGGTGCATAACTACAATTCATTATGAATATATATATACACACACAGTGGAATCTCTCTCTAACAGAAGCTATGGAACTAAAAAAATTTCCCATCTGTAGCAGAGAGGTTGTGTGTAAATTATCTTTAAATGAAACATCCTTTAAATGTAGCCCACATTATTTTTATTTACAAACATAATACACATACCAATTGTAAGAAAGAAAACAAACATCACGCAATTTTATAAAAAATTCAGTAATGTTGGTTTTTACAATTGATTATAGCAATCTGCTTTTCATTATGCATAAGTAAGTCCTATGACAGCTTTATACTTTGTACTGTCTGTCATTTTTATTCATGTAAAACCACTTGAATTACTTTG